CCCCCCCCCCCCCAAGTGGGGGCCCCCTAAAATTTTGAGGGAGTCAAAAAGTAGCTCCCTTTGATCTAGGAACACCCTCCAAGTTTCAAATCTCTACCTCAATTAGGTCAAAAGTTAGAGGGGGGGAGGGGACTTTTCGAACACCCTGTATAAGTAGGAGTACAAATCATCAACTTGTAATTTCTGAAAAAGAAAGACAACAGCGTAACCTAGAGGTGAACCCACCTCTAGCAAGTATTAGATTTGTACAAAACTTTTTAGATGCATAGCATCTTTAGATACAAGCCTTTAATACTGAATGAAACTTCAATTAAGTTTAGTGTCCATATACTAAGTATCTAATTTATTAAGTATCTGATACTACTATACTAGGGCACTGCTTCTGTAATGTATGTTTCAACTTTTGGTTCAGCTCACAATTCAATAGCCTTCAGTAATAAATTTCATTTTTCAGCCCGAAGAACGGTTAGTTCTACAAGTTTGGTGCAAAAGATACCAGAATGAGTTTGCTGGACCTGATCGTGTTAGAGATCGCTGTCTAGGTTTTGTTTTTTGCAACTTAACCGTTTTGATGCGCAATTTTCGTTATGCTGGTGGATGGCATCAGATCATATCACCATCTGGGAAGAATAATGGACAGATACAGGTTTGTAAAATATCAAATCACGCTTATGCAAACAGGTTGCTTTCCTTTTCCCTCATAATAGGGCTGGTGCAAGCTCCATGAATTGCCTTGAAAATAGGTGCCTCTAAAGTTTATTTGAGTCAGAGATGGACTTATTTATGCCAAGAGGAACTTTGTTGCATGCAAACCCTATGCACGTAGCTCCTTTTTAGCATACATGTTCACTTCAAACAGCAATAATATTACGAGCATGATCGATGTACATTAACTCTTGTAAACAAACGCGAGTGAAAGGATACACGGCACCCATTTGAATGAACCCGATCTGAGGGGGACAATCGGTAGCCTCCCCTTGTTAGTATTATCACTATTTAGTGTACATCACGAACAGCCGACTTTATCTCATCAAAGTCGTTTTTCAAAAATCCTAATTTAAATAGCTTTCTCATGAGTAATCTTGTCAATAATGACCCTGAACGTCCCTGGCCTTCCCTTTTTCAAGTTGTCTTTCCATTCTTGAAAACCCCTCATTTTTTAGAATTTTGCAAAGTTGATGGACTTGATAAATTTATTTTTCATTGGTTGCTCTTTTGAATTGTCCACAATTTTTGCACTCCATAAGCTAACCTTCCCATTTTCAGAACTTTTTTCATCACCTTTTCATTTTAGTGTGTAATCTCGCACAGCCTATCGGCTGCAAGGTAGGGCTGTGTCCGAACCAATATTTCGCTCGTTAGTTCGTACGAAACGATCGAGCGATCATTTCGTAATCGTTCACTTCGAAAAAATCGTTTCGAAAGCCTGTTTCGATCGAGCCTGCTCGATCGAAATCCGTTTTGATTTTTTTTTNTTTTTTTTTTTTTTTTTTTTTTTTTTTTTTTTTTTTTTTTTTTTTTTTTTTCCTCAAGCAAAAGTGTACTACTGCCCCTTACGGGGCATTAATTACATAGGAGTTAATGTTCGAATAAAGCTAATCTTAAAACTAATGTAAAAAAAAATTTTTTTATTTTGAACCTATTACATTTTTTATATTGGAGCAATCTCATTAGGATTCCCGTGGGCGTTTCACGCACCGCTGATGAAAGCTCTAAAACGTCTTCCGAAGAAAGTTCACGGGATGAGGGATCCCTGGCTAAAGTCTTCCCAGTAAAATGTTTTTGGAAGGAACAAGACCAGGCTCCACATATTTTTACGCGGTGATTACCTACTTACTTGTATATTACAAGAGCCAAAACGGGTAATGCTCGAAAAAAACCGGAACCTTTCTACCCGTTTTGTAACTTTCTCGGGAATCTTTGATCCCTTATCGGGTGAAAGTACTTTCGATGGGTGTAAGATGCTTTGGATTGCATATCAATGCCATACTCCGTTGCGTATCGCTGCGCTGCATCGCGCCGGCCGTCGACCGCGTTTTTTATCTCCCTCTGGCTTCCCTTCCCGGAGGCTGCCTCACATTCAGCCCGCGCACATTTTAGACCTTTTTGACCGTTTGCTTTGAATCGGTCGTGTTATGACTTATGAGTAACAGCAGCCTCCTCGCGTCAACTGTGACGCCTCATTCACATCTTATCTTTCGGGCAAGGCATTTTGTGACCCACTCTCTCCGTTCTCGCTCGCTCCCTCGCACCTGATCCTCCGCTCTGCTCCCGGTCCACACCTTCACGTTCGCCGGCATCTCTTTACTCACTTTTCCCCCTCATATTGCTCTTGTTTTTCCTCGATTTCGGATACCTTTTCGATCGAATGTCACCTGTTTCTTAGCCGTCGCCTTTGCCTGTCGATCGTCACCACTGCGTTACGTGCAACGTGCTCATCTGCTTCGCTTGGCGTGGCGCTGCGCTACCGGCCGCCGGCCGTCGGCCGAGTTTCTTCTCTCTTATCTCTCTCTGACTTCCCTCCTCGGGGTTCACCTCACATTCGGTCCAGCGTACATTTTGACTATTTTTTGCTTGAAACTGGTTATCGCGTCAACCAAAACCTAATTGGCAAACATCACACATCTTTTTCGGGGAAGGAATTCTACGGTGCGCTCAGCCCCCATCCGCCCCCCTCCCCCGCTCATCGGTCTTTCTTCATTTACCTAGTTTTCCTTGTTGTCGATTGTCTATTTAGGTCTTCACTGTCGCCTTTGTCTTTGTCCGTCGATCGCCAATTTGCCATCGCCACACTATTCACCGGTCTCCACTCAGATTTTTATTCACTATCACTTTTTTCCATTCCTTCCGTCAAACAAATGAACTCGCCGCGTTGGCTGCTCCAGCATGTTTTGATTACCTTACCCGCTTTTGCTATCTCGTCCAATGATGCCGAAGCTTTGCTAATAATATTTTTCAGCACTTTAGTTTTCATTTTAAATTTAATATTACATTCTCTACAGCAAGAGGGGTATCCTTCATTGGCGTATCGTGTCTGGAACCCCGTAGCCCCCTCTCCCCCTCCGTATGGTATCATTGATAAGTCGTCTTGCAGAGAGGACTCCAACAATCAGATCAGGGATGCTCCAACGCACCTTATGGACGGGTTTTCAATACACGCAGCAATGCACTTTCTTCAAGCTAAAATTTATTTTTGGTAAAGAAATATGGACTCAAAAAATGCATTTATATCAGAATTGAGACAAAATAATGCTAGAGAACTAAAAATCTATAAATATTGAGTTCAAAAAACAAACAAACGAAAAACCTCATTTCGTTCTGCCGCGACTACACCTCTCCACTCTAAACTTATTGTTTTAGAGATTAGCCCCCCTCCCCCCGAAAAAAATTATGAATCTACGTGCATTAAACGTGTCTGCCAAGAATTCATGCGAAGTCACAAACAAGAGTTTTCAGATATTTATATATTTTCATTTTTAAATTTTCAAGGATTTTAAAGTTTCAACATTGGAACTTTTTCTGCATATCAGCATTTAAAATGAAAAAGGTTTTCAACAGCGAGCCAATATACTGAATTAGGAAACGCCTACATTTGCTGTTGTCCTGGATCTGAAGGAAGCACGCTTAGGGGTTCGACTTGCACTCTAGGTTGTACATATGAAGGCTGATAAGGTTCAGCCCTCCCATAAATTGGAACTAACGTGAAATCAAAGGCATGGTACAAACAAATACAAATAATTAATTAATTGAGGGGATTAATCGAAGGAAAGGAAGAAATTAGTAAATAAGTAAATATAAAAAATCCAAAATTGTAGTTTTTGACTTTGTCCGTTAAATAACATATGCGTCTCTTGCAGTCATCGTCCCGTCATGAAAATTGACCAGCTACGGATTCACTCTTGAGAACTCACGCTTTTCGATCCCTAGTAGCTTAAAATCTGTTCTTTGTCGCCCCACCCCCAAGAGTTGTATCTTCTGCAAAAAGAAGGAGGGAATCACTTGCAGAAGATACGCAATTTGCTGACTACCTGACTTTTCTACTTACACTGTTAAAAATTCTGGAGCGAAATTCTATGCCGGAGTCTACATATATGGCACCGAGAACTCCCGAATGATTTGAACGCGGAGCGGAATTTACTTTTTTTTGCGGAGTGTCATACGGTTTTATGGTGCAACTGTCACTTCGCATTCATTTCATTCGGGGTTTTTGGGCGCTATGTAGATGCCAGCACCGAATTTCACTCCTCAATTTTTAACAGTGTGTACCGGCCTTTTCCCCGAAACACGTAATTTGATCACGTGTTTGATTTCGTAGAAATATTTTTTATTTTCCTCAATCTGGCGGTCTGGCACTCACATCCACATCGTGAATGAAGCTGTAAGTCGATGAAGGAGAGGGAGGGATGATGGGATTCTCATATGGGACTCCGTCTGGCGCAATGGACGGAGGACGCGCAGCGCGGCGACGGCCGACGCGGACACGCGTTTAATCGCCGTCCCTAGCCTGCCTGAAACCCCTGAAACCTAGCTATATACGATTTTCGCATTTTTTCCCCCCTAATTTCCTTATCATTCCCCTCTCTTTCTAACCCAGCTGAAATGCGGCATCTACATAGGCTGTCCCAAAACAACTGAGAGTAAGTCTGTATTTCAGAAACAATAAGAGATATTGAAACGCGGTTTGTGGGAGGTTGTAGCTCATATCCTTAGCTATCCAACGAGCTCAAGATTTGCTATTTTGGTCAAAATTTCGCTGAGTTACAGCAATTTTTTGGAGCCGTGTAAAATATAACCCTACAGGATTTTTGAGTATTTTTTTCCTTGTCTGAGGTGTTGTTCCGAGATCGCAACTTTGCGAATCACGTTGGCACTGGTCTAGATGCAAGTTCTAACATGTTTGCATGTGCTTTCATTGCATATCAGAGATTTTCTTCAACTTCCCAGCTCAGGGAAGCCAACATTGTCTAGCGTTAATGACACGTGTTCTCGTTTGGTGCTATGAGTTCGCCCGCGGAGCTGAAACAAGAGCAACGCTATGCCATCCGTTACTGTGTTTACCAAGGTTTAACTGTCTCTGATACCGTGAAAGAGATGTTAGTTGTTTATGGAGAAAATCGCCTTGGGGAGAGCACCATTTATCGGTGGTATGCAACTTTTTCCGAGGGTCGCGAGTTGGCGGCTTTGATTCCGCATGGCGGCCGGCCGTCAACTTCTGCGGCGGAGGAAGAAAGTGTCATTAACGCTGGACAATAATGGCTTCCCTGAGATGGGAAGTTGAAGAAAATCTCTGATATGCAATGAAAGCACATGCAAACATGTTAGAACTTGCATCTAGACCAGTGCCAACGTGATCCGCAAAGTTGCGATCTCGGAACAACACCTCAGACAAGGAAAAAAATACTCAAAAATCCTGTAGGGTTATATTTTACACGGCTCCAAAAAATTGCTGTAACTCAGCGAAATTTTGACCAAAATAGCGAATCTTGGGCTCGTTGGATAGCTAAGGATATGAGCTACAACCTCCCACAAACCGCGTTTCAATATCTCTTATTGTTTCTGAAATACAGACTTACTCTCAGTTGTTTTGGGACAGCCTATGTATTTCAGCCTATGCTCCCTTGTTCAACACCTAACCTATTTCGACACGTGACACGTACGTGGTTCAGCTATCGTCTGAAGCGCTGATTTTGTGCACTTTCTTGTACTTAAGAAACGTCTTCCCTAATTTATTAAAAAAAAAAAATTAAAAAATGAAAATTGGTAAATTTTACGAGTACGCAAGATGTACGTAGAAGATCCCGTAAAAAATCCGAGTCGGAGAGCTCAACGTAAAAGAATTTTGATTAAAGATGTAAAAAGAACTTGATGGATTGAATTGAAATCTTGACGTCAAAAATTTGCGAGTTTTTGCGCAAAAAAATCCGGAAAAAATTTGGAAGAACGTGAAAAACGTGAACGAGATTTTTTACGTGAAAAATCTTACTTTCCGTACATTAAAAAGGAGGTCAGAAAGTAATGCAAAGAAGACAGATTGAACTACGGTTTTTTACGTAAAAAATTGACGTCTCTGATTTTTTTTTCTGACTTTTTCACGTAAAAAATCACGATTTTTCTTTTTTACCTCTTCGAACATCTATTTTTCATGTAAAATTTTTGATTGCGAAAACCAAAAAATTGAGGAAGAATATTTGTACTAAAAATTCGCTAAATTAGCTAAATAGGAAATACCTTTGGAGTATTTGTTACTAGAATGATACGCCGAAAATTCGAATGTCCCCTAAATTTTTTTTTTTGTAAAAAGAGTAAGCCCGAAAACTAGATACAAAATTGTTTCGAAACCAGAGTTTTTAAGAATCTGTGAAGATTTTAAGAACTTATCTTTATTATATTGGTTTTAAACATTCAAAAAAAAAATTGGTGCATTTTATAATAAAATTTAAGAAAAGGAAAATGTCATTTCACTTTTGGTTTATTTTACATCTTGTTTTACGATTTTTCTTTCTTTTTTTGTAGATTTTAAGTCTTTGTGCTAGTATGGGAAGAATGATTATATTTTCTCTTTGGTGTCCAAAGGATTAAGGTCAACCAACATCCGTGGAAAGTTCTGAAATAACTAATTCCTTAGGAACAATTTAGTATACTTTCTTTTCATTTGAAATTATGGACTTGCATAATTTTCCAAGTACTAAGTGAATTAACGTACAGCCGATATGCATGTGCCAGCCTCTGATTACAATTTACACCTGCTGGGGATCAAAAATCGCGCATAAGCTCCTTCTAGTGATGTGTAAATAAATTGTAAAAGAGGGTGTACTAGTTTTGTGTACTAGTTACTTCCTAAAAGTTCGATCCATTCGATTTTATGAAGAGAATTTGATGAAGAGCTTCAGCTGAACGGTGGCGTATATGTATAAAGATAGTGAAAGAGGAAGGAGACGCGGATCACGCGGACGACAAAGGTGAGGAAGGGAAGAGAGTGGGCAGTAGCGGCACTGATAAGAGCTTCAGTCAAACGGGAGCTAGGTGCTAGGATCGAGATCTTGAAAGAGGAAGGAGTCACAGTCGTGGGCGGCAAGGGGAAACGGAGATAGTCTGCGGTGCCGTCACCGAAAGGAGAGGTGCATGAATCAAAAGCTATGCGAGGTATGAGGAGCACTGGAGCAGGCCAGACGCCATGGGTCAAACCAAATACCGAACCGAAGAAGAGTGTAATTGAATCAGCTATTACAGAAAGGGCACAATCGACATTTTTTTCGAAATTGAGTTTTTTGCGGTTTTCGCATTAGTGTATGTAGACACATCCTGTAGTGCAGACAGGGCACTTTATTCGCATTTTTTATGTGTTTTTGACAGGGGTTAAGTTCCTCACGTAGAGCAGAAAGGGCACTGTTGCAGCAATATAGTGCCGTTTCTGCAGTACATGCCCACTGGGTGCGCGCGCATCAGCAGCGGCAACTCGTCCTTTGTTTTGTTTTGATACGATTGAGAGGTTAGTTTTGCGTTTCGAAACGACAGTGATCACGCTACACGCTTCACTCACGCTGAAAATGAAAGGAGTGAGAATTGAACCTTGAGTGTAGGAAGTGAGAGGAGCCCTCAACAGGTTGGATGAGGAAGTAGGTAGAAGATTACTACGCTATTGAACTTCAAAGGATACTTTTTTTTTTTTTGACTTGAAATAAGCCAGAAATATTTTTATTAAAATTTACATAGCTGTGGGCAAACCACATGGTGAAAGTTCGAAATCGCATACCATCAATTGCGACATTGCCAGTTTTATTTCGTCTTCTTTTTTTGTTCTTAAGTATTCTCTATTGAAATTTTGTGTAAATATTCTTCACACCATCAAGATTGTTTTCTGAAAATTTCATGGGAAAATCTCTATTTGTTCTCTTTAAAAAAATAGTGTAAAAAGGGAGCAGAAATTTTGAAACGTTGCAATGGAGATATACAATTTCCAACTTTCGCTATAGACATGCATCATTGCCATACATTTGAGATGAAAAACAAGGGCTAAAATAATTTTCTGGCTTAATTCTATCACTCTTTATGGCTCCTTCCCCCATGTATTACAGAAAGGGCACTAATGCTCTTCCTTCAAGTGTCATTATTTACAACCCAGAAAGAGTATCATGTAAAAATTTTTTATGGAAATTGTCAGTCTACTTGGGGGACAAAAGAAAACCTCGAAAAAAATTTTTCCAAAAGCTTATTGTTTACTCAAATCGGTTTTTTGCATTTTCTGAACAGTTAACATTTCTGCAATAGTGTCCTTTCTGCAATATGTGATTCAATTGTGTGATATGAGGAAAACGAACGGGGACGAGGTAAGGACGATTCGACGTAGGATGGTGAGGGCGTGCGTGCGTGCGTGTGTGTGTGTGTGTGAGGGTGTGTGTGTGTGTGTGTGTGTGTGTGTGCAGTGCGGGCCGACATATGTATACTGAGCAGATGCAAAATTCGAACGAAATGGTCAAAACTGTCTAAATGCAGCGAGTATCATCATCATTGTCGCGGCACACGCAGCGCTGGCGAGCGCCGAGCCATACTACCAGGGTCCATTGGATCATTATTGTTATTGGTGATGGGCATTTGGGCTAGGAGCTAAAGGAGCATTGAGATCGGGAGGTAGGGTAGCGCAGCGGACCTCTGATACTTTACAAATAAATGGTTGGTAAAAAATGGAGTGAATGCGATAAGCGCATATATTTTTAATAATAATTGATCTGATAAAATAACTTAAGTAAATAGACGAGAATCGAGACCTGGTATTTTCATGATTTGTGTGGTTAAATTAATTTGTTTTGTTGTGGGAGGGGGAGGGGGGAAGATTAAGCACATGGAATGATTTTCGGTAATTCTATGTATACAGAACACATGGTAATAATATAATTTGCGGACAGAACTGCTACGGTACATAATGCTGATGCTGTTATTTCAATCGAATTTGAAAGGAAGAAAAAAATTAGAGGAAGAGGAATTCTTGACAACAATATGAAAATTCTACAATTATTTGCTAAACATGGTAAATCTTATTTCAACATTACAAAATAACATTTTGATCGAAACGGCTTTCGAAACAAACGTTTCGATCGGGCATTTCGATCGAGCAGTTTCGATCGAAACAGGTCTTCGAACGAGCATCGAAATAATCGATCGGTTCGGGGACAGGCCTACTGCAAGGTAGAGAAGCTTCTGTGCAATTGATTGTCAAAATATCCCTTGATCTTAAAAAGTAATGAATAAAATTTGTTGTCAATTTCCAGATTCTGGTGAAACCACTTCAAAGTATCGATTTTGTGAAAGATCTAGAGTGCGAGGTTCTTGTCCATAGTGAGAGTAATTTGATCAACGACCTCCAGCCGTACAACTTCTACTTGAATGCTGCTGTTACCAAACAGAAAAATGATGTTTCGTCCAAAGAGTTATTGAGGTGAACATCTGTTTGTTTTTTTGTTTAAATTAGTGCGTTATAGGAAGCTTTATGAAGCAGAACTGTTACAGGTCAAAATTTGAGAGCTTCAAGTTAAAATGATTCAAAGCAAGGATTCAATTACCTCATATACTGTTTTTTTTATAATTTTTACTTTCTCGCTCCCCTTGCGGGGAGAAGAAGTATTGTCATCGTCCAAAAAGAAAAGAAAAAAAAAGTTGAAATTTCATCATTTCTAAGCGTTTTAAGGTACCTGGAGTCAAAATGAACATACTTGAAAATATGTATGTCCGTCCGTCAGGCGTACCCTTTTTCTGTGCACAGCCATATCTGAGAATCTATCTGTTCAATTTGATTCAAAATGTTCATGGAAAACCATATCCATGGTCTGCTTATGCACGTCAGGTGGTTTTGGAGTGCGCCAAAATTGGGAGGGGGGGGCTCGGGTCAAAACATGATTTTCATGAAATTCACACAGAGAGCTCACTTTGACGGACTGTAGATTTTGAAGAGATGCCTTTAAGTTTTTGAAAGTTGGCACAAAGTATCACCTGAGTCATTAATTTAAGTTCCTCAAAGATCTTTGGGCTAAACTCGAAATTGAAGGGGTACGGATCCCCTTGCAAAGGCACTTCGTTCCACGAGATCACATGAAGAGCTCACTGAGAAGGGCTGTAGATTTTGTAAAAAGGCGTTTAACCGTGTGAAAGTTGGCACAAAGCACCACCTGAATAATTCATTTAAGTTCCTTAAAGATCTTTGGATTGATCTCAAAATTGGAGAGGCCCAAAAGCAAATTTTCCGCTAAATGAGACGGAACACTCTTGAGTATTAGCAGCAAGTGTTTTGAGTCAGGTGAAACCTAAGATTTCAAATGTATTATCTCCAAAATAACTGCATATATATCAAGCAAAATTAGACGCCTAATTAGGTACTTACATACTATGAATCATCTAAGCTGGCAGTAGAGCTAACACTTAGATCTTTATTGGAAGCTAACATGTATTTTGTTCATGAACTCAAGCATCCCGGCAGATTCCATCTTTCGCGATTCCTTTTTACGAGGTACTGAACAAAAATATAATAATACTGCACATACATAATTGATTCATTGGTTACAGTGATTACATGAAGCATGAAGCGACTATTTTGTTTACTAAATTACCACACACGGGAAATGTGAAAAGTGAGGTTGGTGACAAGTTAGTGAGGCTGTGAGACTCAGGTGCGGCGCCGCGCTCCCGGCGGACGGGTGGTGAATCATTTCAGGCGGGTAGAGGTCCCAGGCGGAGAACCTCGTATATTGCTAATTTTGTCGGTCTTGACATATCTACCCTGTGGCCCAACAACTAACACAGAACTCAATTGAACTCCTAGTTATTGGGAGTTCTTGTCCCGATATTTCTCCTAAATTTTTAACGGCTCTTCAGATCCTGCATCATGATGCTTGGTCCAAATAAGTCTCAAAACTCATTTTTTTATTTAATTAATTTCATTTTGAAAATAGTTGTGGCAATGAAAAATACCTAGATCAGTACCTACTTCAATTAAAGATTTCATGTTAAAGCTGCGCCTTCTAGTTAACTTTCCGACTTTTCACAAAGCCGTTGAGCGAGAAAGTTCATGGTGGTCTCTGCACCACACTACAAAGCGGAGGAAGGCCAACGCTCCTCAATATGCCGGCCATATGTAAGAATAGGAATCGAAGTTTCTCGGGAATGTCAATTATCATGAATGAGAGAGTTCCAGTAACGGATCAAGGAAGTTCTCGGAAACATTCCTCTGGATGTGATCGATTGCTCCTCCAGCTGTGAGTCATAAACTAGAACCAGTTGCAGGCTACTGGCTCCTGGAAAGCTGAAGTACCTCACATCAAACTTCAGTTATAATAATTGATAGCTATCAAACTCCAATTCATTTTGTTCGCTCATATTTCATGTTTCTTTATATTTTTGCTTTCTTTCCTTTCCCAAAACAAGAGAAGTATCATGATCCATGTGAGAAATATACGAGGGGTGTTCAGTAAAGACCATCTAAGATGCAAAAAAGATTGTCCAAACACTAATTTTATCAGTCGCTTAACTAAAATCTGTCAAATTCGACCTTATGACTCTTAGTAAAATCACCTTTCAGTGTATTCAAAGTTTTTCAACATTTTTTTGACTCCCTGAAAACGTGATCAAAAACACCCTTCGCCAGATATTTGAAACTCGTCTCTGGTGCTTTTACTACTGAAATGGTAGCTTCATAATGTCAATCTTTAAGGTAATTTTTGTTCTGAGAACAGTATAAAAAACTCACGAGGGATCAAATTTGGACGATTAAGTAAACGAAGTACCATTTCACAATTTTTCTTGGCCAAGAACTTTATGACACTTCCCGAGACATAAGGCCAACACTGAGAGGTACCGCAGAATCCACCAAGTGCAAACATCAGCAGGGTTCAGATAATCATGCGACTGTGTTAAAGCCATCCCATTCCATATGCCCTATCAGTATGCTCTAAGTATTGTGATAACATCTCTGACTGTTTGTAAAGCATCGATCTGCATCAACATACTACCCCTGTTGATAATATTCTTGATGAAAGCTATATCATAGGGTACTGTAAAATAGGGTGTTTTTCGAATTTCGAACTGGGAGTTTGGCAAAAGGATCATTTCACCATTGTAAACAACTGTGCAAAATTTGGTTTCGATCCGATGCCATTTTCAGTCTCTGCAAAGGCCTTAAAGCGCCTAAATTTAATTTCCATGTATTAGGGGATAATAATAGTCATATCCAACAGATGTTGTCAAGTTGCGGCTCTTTAGGGCAAAAATTTCGGCCGTTTTGAAGATTTTGTGAGTCTACAACAAGAATAATGAAAATCGTCGTCACACACCACGCGCCATAGGGAAAGCAGCTCAAGACTCCGTGCGGGCGCACCGCACCGCCTCCAGCCTTTGTGCGGTATTTGTACACAGCCACAGTGGCTCTGCTTAGGGAGTTTTGCGTTTAAAATAGCCTAAGCTACGTAAACGAAACATGGCGCAGTGAATTTTCCTTTCTATGGCTCAAAGAAATGAGTACTTCGTGTTAAGTACAGCTCTTCGCTCCACCACGTCATCATTGTAACAACGAAGTTTCCCCAGAATCCACCACAAAGAGGTGACTGTACGGTGGGTCCCACCACCACACCCTACCCAACCACCCGACTTTGTAAGAGTGTATGGAAAATTATGATAATTAATTTATATGATTCTAATTACCAAACAAGGAAAAGCAAGGATTCTGGGGAAACTTCGTTGTTACGTGTATTTTCGCGGAGCCTCAGGATGCGTGCCAATGCCTCTTCCTTGATAATTTGATCTTCATCTACCAACATTGCCAATTAATCATTTTCTGGATATCCGAAATAACCATTATTTTGAATAACGGGCTGAATTAAAGCCTTAAAAATTGAAAATAATTGACCAATTATTCTCAATTTTCAATTTCTTTCAATTTTACTCACATTTAAATTATATTGACATTCAAAACTGTAGTCTATTCGTAGAGTAGACTCAATTACTTACAGTTTCAAAAAAAATTGAGCTCTCCAAGTTCATTTCTTATGCAGAGAACTTCTGAAAATATGTCCAATTTTCAACTTCATCGGACCACTGTGCAGAATCCCCTAATGGGATTTATGGGGACTTTAGGTTAAAAACACCTTTTCATATGAAAAATCGATTGGGCCTAAATCCAGCCGTATGTTAATTTTTGGCCATCAATATGCTTCGTTTACTGGACTATGTGTATTCTCCTGACTTCTAGTTTGTGTTAAAGGCAACGATTTTCAAAGAAAAGGACAAGATATGATCTCCAATCTTATCAAAAGAAAAAGCGAATGACAGTCTGAATCGTTTAACTTTCCCTCATAAAGGCCTTTATCTGTGAGTAAACATTTGGTAAAATACAAAACCTTTGTATATTTAAGCTTTTACCTAGTGTCAGTTAAGTCTCTTGTCAAGACTGCCTTCTTTTTAAAAAAAAACCTGTCTTCTTGCTCCCCTAAAAAATTATTTCTGTTCCTCTAGTGCGGTTGTTCAACTACACGGGCATTAATAATTAACGAACTCACAGTCTTTACAATTGATGATACGATTCATTATAATAAATTTGATAAGTTTCAACAGAATTCACAACCCTGATATAAATTGCATCAACATAACCACTTAACGACAAACAACAATCATCGATAGTTTGCGTCCATGATGCTTTGATGGCGCAAAAGGGCTATTCATTCGAATATGTATATTTTGACATGCTCCTTCAATTTTTACAATATTTTGCGAAAAAAATTAATAATATTTACTTACACTGGATATCGACGCTATTTCAGTCACTATGTTTTTCTGATTGATGAGAGAATTGATAAAACATAAAATTTAATTGACGCATTTTGATTTGGCATAGAAAATGATAAATTACTTTAAGTTCAAGAAATTTCCTAATTTAAAGAATCGGGAAGAGCTAAGACTTCTAGTTAAAATATCGGCTTGCTGATATGCTGTATGAATCTTTTTGACTAAAATTTGACCTTTATTCATGTAGTCCTGAACTAAGTGATAGGAAATATCGATATGTTTCAAATTTTTTGTGAACTTGCCATTATTGGCTAAATCTAAGGCTCCAGAATTATTTTCGTAGACTATAGTTGGTGTAGTTTTGATGTTGAGCTCGAACAAAAGTCCTTGTACAGGGAGAACTTTAGTGACTTATTCTGCGAGAGCATAATATTCAGCATGAGTGCTGGCTTGTGACACAATTTTTTATTTTTGAACGTTCCACAGAATCGGGTTTCCAAATAATTTGAGAAGAATACCTGTCGTTGATTTCCTATAGGTTAAATCAGATGGAAGTCAGCCTCAGTGGTGTAGTGGTCAAGGCAGTTCGCTGCCAACACTGAGGTCCCGGGTTCAATCCCCGGAGATGACTGATATTTGAGGACACTCAAATATCAGTCATCGTGACTG